TCTGGGGAAATGGCCATTGGAAATAAGCCAAAATATATATTTTTAAAAAATACTGTTGGTCTCTGCAGCACTATTGAACATAATGAAAATTAGGAAAAACTAAAAATGTCCCAAACCTGGAAGTCTGGCTTTGATGAATTGCTCTGTAGCTGTCACTGAAGCCCTGGCACTGAGAGTGCATGAGTCAGTCAGGTGCCTGCAGCAAGTTCCAGAAAATTCCACCCCCTGGCTCCCGAGAGAAGGAATGTAGTATCACCTCCCAGGCCACGGTGAGTGAAGACGGGCAGTTCCAACCCTGTCACTGCTCTGTCTTCAGCCAGCTTGGCGGGAGAGAGTAAAACTCTCCTGTAACTCCAGAACGTCCTTCGCCGACCCTTCCCGCCCAGCCTCCTGCCCGCAGGCGGCACTGCCCTGGGCAGCGGAGCTGTGGCCGCTCCAAGTCCCCGCTCTTCGGCCTCCCGCCGCGCGGGGCAGGGGAGTCTGCTCCCTTAGCCCAGAACCCACGCGGGCTGTCCTCCGGGCCCATTGCAGAGCGGCCGGGTGTTCGGTCCGGCCCATGGGGGCACCCTGGTTCTCAGTGGTCCTGGGCCGGCGGCCGCAGCTGGACACGCCCTGAAAAGGCGCCCTCTCGCCCCGAACCAAGAGCCGGAGGGGAGGCTCCCACCGTCCTCCGAGCCCTGGGGCGCCTGCAGCTCCCATGTGAGCCCCCGGGCTGGGCAAGGCGCGGCGCCTCGCGGCGGGGCAGGGCCGGTCCCCGCGGGGAGGGCGCCGGCGGAGCCCCGGGGGCAGGAGGCTCAGCGCTGCGCCCCCCCGCCCCCCAACCTGCCTGGAAGCATTCCCCGCATTTCCTCCGGCTGGAAGAAATGCGGGACGCTGGTGACGTGTGCGCGCGTGTGTGTGCGTGTGTGTGTGTGTGTGTGTGTGTGTGTGTGTGTGTGTGTGTGTAAGTTGCAGAAAGTCATGTAAACAATGTGTAAATTTAACAAAACACGGGCGTGTGCCCGCGCGAGCACGTGCGCAGGGAGCGGCGGGGGGACGCGCCTCCCGTGCGGCGGTGCCCGGCGAGGCCGGGGCGTGGGAAACGAAACCGGTTCCGCACCCACAGCCACGGAGGCGGGAGGGAGGGGGCTGCGCGGCCCCGGACCGCCGCGCCTGAGTGAGAAGCCGAGCTCTGGGGCGCCAGGGCTCCCCTCCGAGAGGGCCCGGACCACCGGGCTCCCCGTGGCCTTTGTGGGCCCGGACCACCGACCACGAACCTCGGGGCACGGAGGCGGAGGCGGAGGGACCGCCCAGCGCCGCCGGGAGCTCCCTGGATGAGGAAAGGGCTCCGGCGGAAGTGGGGACACCTGTCAGACCGAAACCAGAGCTGAGCTCACTTCCTCCTGTGACACATTCTCACACCCCACCCGTCCGTGTCCATTTTTCACCCCTGATTCTATTATATTCATCAGTTTATTCTGTTCCTCAGATTTTTATTTCACTTGACTTTTAGATTCACTTGTTGATAGATATATATTTGTTGTTCATAATTTTTATCTTTACTTTTTTCTTCTTTTTCCTCTTTTTTAAAGAACATCTTTTAGCATTTCATATAACACTGGTTTGGTGGTGATGAACTCTGTGAAGCTCTTTTTCTGCACTTCAATTCTGAATAACTTGCTGGGTAGAGTAATCTTGGTTGTAGGGTCTTGCTATTCATCACTTTGAATATTTCTTGCCACTCCCATCTGGCCTGCATAGTTTCTGTTGAGAAATCAGCTGATAATCAGATGGGTGCTCCCTTGTAGGTAACTGTTTTTCTCTTGCTGCTTGTAAGATTCTCTCTTTATCTTTTGCTCTTGGCATTTTAATTATGATGTGTCTTGGTGTGGTCCTCTTTGAATTACTTTTGTTTGGGGTTCTGTGCCCTTCCTGGACTTGTAAATCTATTTCTTTCACCAGGTGGGGGAAGTTTTCTGTCATTATTTCTTCAAGTAGGTTTTCAGTGTCTTGCTCTCTCTCTTTTTCTGGCACCGCCATAATTCTGATGTTGGTATGCTGCACGAACCTCTGCAAAAAAGTCACCCTCACTTTGGGACCCGATGGCCAACAACCAGCTTCTCCCCGTAGGCATCTGTGTCCCCCGTGTGACCCCGGAAACTGGATTTCAAAGTGATTGGAGCTTGTTTCCCTTCGGTTTGAAAAAAAAGCCTCACGCCCAGATGCCCGCATCAGCCCATTTCGCGTGCCTCTGTCCCTCAGCTTTTCAATGTTTGTGCTCCTTTCTCTTTCCTTCTAGTTGTAAGACTTCCATTCAGCCAGCTTTCCTGTGGTTCTGGGTGATAGACGTTTTGTCTTTTAGTTGTAGTTTTAAAATTCTTGTTCGAGGCAACAGATTAGTTGTTTACTTTTGCCGCCATCTTGGTTTCTCCTAGCCCTTGTCTTTTTACTGCAGGCGCAATGGTAAACGTTTTCAACAAATGATTTTTATATTTTATGCATTTGTAGTTCAGAGGTTACTATATTTTGCTATCAAATGAAAAAGTAGAATATTTACTTAAAACTTTTGGTGTGAATTTGATCACAGGTTCCTGTGGTTTGTGAAAAGACTTAAATTTCTTGCCCAGCTGATGTGGCTTGGTGGTTTAGTGTTGACCTATGAACCAGGAGGTCACGGTTCAATTCCAGTTCTTGCAAGCTCCATCCCCAGTGGGGCATGCAGAAGGCAGCCAATCAATGACTCTCTCATCAATGATGTTTCTCTCCCTCTCCCTTCCTCTCTGAAATCAGTGAAAATGCATTTTTTTAAAAAGAGAGAGATGAGGCCTGTCTCCAACCCTGGCAGCTGGGTGGCCGCCATAACTGGCCGTGCAGTGGCCAGTGACCTGGGGACAAGCCCAAGCCTCTCCCTTAAGACAAATAAATCTCCCTCCAGGAGCTTCCCCGCATGTCCCTGGCTCTGATGGTAACAGCGGTTTCAGAATCTGACATATTAGGAAGAAAAGGGATTGACTGGTGGGAACTGGAGGCAGGACAGCCGGCCGCACTGCTGTGATCACTGAGACCGCCATCCCGGCGGAGACACATGGCCAGGCGTGGGTCATGTGGCTGCTCTTTGGTCGCCTTAACAGAGCACCGCAGTTGAGGAGCTGAGACAACAGACCTTTGTTTTCCCAGGGCTCTGGGGCGGGGGGGGGGGGGGGGGGGGGCGGGCAGACAGGAGGGGGCATGAGCTGCAGCTGTTGTCAGGGCTGCTTTCCCCCAGGCTCCCTCCTTGCTGGAGACTGTCGTCTTATCCGTGTCCTCACATGGTGTCCCTGGGCATGTGTGTCCTAATGTCCCTATGGACACCAGTCTTCCCGAAGGAGGGTCCACCTTAATGTCCTCATTTTAGCTTACTTCCCCCGAGACAGCCACCGTCAAACGCAGGCCCACACGGAGGTTCTGAGGGAGGATTTCCACGTGTAAACGGAGAACACAGGCTAGCCCTCACTCCCGAGGTGGGAGCTGGCACGCAGCCCTCGGGTTTCTGCAGTGGAAGCAGTTGCCGCTTTCCGTTAAGGCTTCTCAGGGTCGGGGCTCCCCCGGGGAGAGTGAGATGCTGGTAAGAAGGGGCTCCTGGTAACAGAGATGCTAAAAGGACCAGAGTTCACTAAAACACTCTTGTTTCTACTCGGTCTTCAACCAGCACTGCTCAGGCTTCTGTCCCCCAGCCCCGGCCCCTGAGATGGATCAGCATATGTCTAAGCGCCTCCCCAGCACCATGCCGGGCTCTGCTCGGCCTTTGCACTGTGACTTCTCCCTCCCTGAAGAGGGGCCTCTGGGCTCCCCGGCTGTTTTCCTCATAGTCCTGCCTCCCGATCTGCTCTGTCAGCAACTCTCGGCTGGTGACGGCTTCCAGGGCCAAGTTTCTGTCACGGTCCTCTCCTGGTTCCCCTTTCTGACACTCCAGCCAGATTCTCCTCTGTGGTCACCCTGACCGAGAGCCTCTGGCGGGCCTCACAGGGAGCTCCTTAACTTAAGGGGAAAGGGGGTACATTTTCATTTGTTCTTAGGAGAGGACAAAAGCTTTTATCAAGTTTAAAACATCCACTTGTCTCCTAAACGTGTCCTTTGTCCAGACCTGTCCTCTGAGCTCCAGGGTCTCCTGCCTGCTTGACATCTTGCCTGAAATCATCACAACCATCTCTCCCCCAGCCCAGGCTGCTCTCCTCCCCGTCTCCAAGTCCATGAAGTGGACACCATCCTCCCAATCACCCACATCCAAGCTGAGCACCGCCCAGACCCCTCCGCCACCCCTCCTGGCCCATGGCTCACCCACATCCTGCCCACTCTACCTGCTTCCAGGTCTCCACTGCCCTGACAGACAAGCCCTGCCTCTGCCTGGGCCGTTAAAATAACTCCATGCCCGTTTCGCTCCCACAGCCAGGGTTTCTTTGCACAGACCACGGGCACCTGTGATCAAATTCACACGGAAAGTTAGGAGTCCCCGAGGGTCACGACCCCAGGGCATGGGCATTTTAAATGTGAAAGAAAATGCCTATGGAGTTAATATGGGGTGAGGGAACACCGGAAGCCTGAAGACTGAAATGCCTGCTCTCTGTACATAGGCAGAGACAGGAGGGAAAGGTCTGAGATGGAGACAGAGACCCCCGGGAACACCCTGCCTTGTCCCAGTTTTGTCCCCAGGGCCCAGCTATCCCCTTCTTGGCACTGGGTGACCCCAGCCCCCTGGGTGGGGCAAATGCCCTGAGATTTCTGAGGATGCCCCAGGGACGGCCACCTGGCCTCAGCACAGACCTACACGGCCAAAGGGACACACCCACCTCCGCTTCTCCCCCAGGCTCTGCCCCAGCCCCCACCCTGGGCTCCCTTGTCCAAGTTTCTATCAGGAGTCAATAATGCTCCCAGAAAAAGGAACCTGCTGGGTAGTGGGGTGCAGGGGGAGGCTGCTGACTTCCACTCTCAAGCCAGCTGAGTCACCGTCAGCTCCGCGGCACCGGCTCACTCTCCCGGCCAGCATGTGGCAGCTGCTGCCGCCGGCAGTCCTGCTGCTCCTGGGTAAGTCAGCTGCCGCTGAGCGAGACACTCAGGACGCCTGGGCCCAGGCCCCGACGGACCCTTCTCACCTCGAAGGCCGCCAGCCTGGGCTTAGCTCGTAGGACAACCCGCTGGGCGGCTAGAGACAGGGAGCCGCTCTGACCTGGGCCCTGTGAGGAGGGGAAGGGGACTGCGACGCCCCGTCCTCCGGCTCCCCATGGGCAAGTTGAAGAGTCTGGGCCAGACAGACGGTCCCGAAGGCCTGTCCCTTCCATGGGACATCCTAGGCTTCCTCTCTAAGACTTGGCATCTCTTCTCTCCAGGGGACTTGGTTGTGGTTGTTTCTAGGCTTTCGTTCAGGGAAATCCGATCCGTGTTGTTAGCCGGGGAGTTTGCACGGGACCGAGGAGTAACGGGATGCTTTTGAAAACAGAGATTCGGGTGGACCGTGGGGGCGGGGAGGAGTCACAGACATCGGAGACCAGAGCGTAGGCAGCGGGACAGCCGGCCACTGTCTGTGTCCTGGTCCCGGCGCCGCGGGCCCGGGGCAAGGTGGGCGGGGGCCCGTAGCTCAGCCCCTGCAGCCGCCACTCCCTGCTGGGCTCAATTTCTGTTTCACTCTTTTCTCTGCAGCATCAGCCGGCACCCAAGCTGGTGAGTCTGCTTTCAGGTGTCAGACCGATCCAGTGAGGCCCTGAGGATGCAGTAGCCACGCTGTGGCCACGCCGAGTGGAGGGCCAGCAGGGACAATTGCTCCAACTCGGTGGGCTTGGCCCTACGCTCCTTTAACCAGTTTCCCTCAACATAAAGAGGCCGGAAGGGGGGCCAGTGCCTCCAAGCCAAGATGCTCTGAGGCTGAGTCCCAGACCAAGGCAGAGCAGCCAGCTGTGGTTGGGGGTGCTGGTCCAGGGATGCAGGGCGGGGACCCCTCACCTCCGCCGCCTCACCCACACTCTCCTGTCTCCTCAGAAGGTCTCCAGAAGGCCGTGGTGTCCCTGCATCCGCAATGGGATAGGCTGCTCGAGAGGGACAACGTGACTCTGCGGTGCCAGGGGGCCCAGGCCGAGGGGAACGGTTCCACACTGTGGTGGCACAATGGCCACCTCCTGCCAAGCCAGAACTCCAGCCACTTCATCGCCTCCGCCAGCGTGAACCACAGCGGGGAGTACACGTGCCAGACCAGCCGCTCCAGCCTCAGCGACCCGGTGCAGCTGCAAGTCCGGGCTGGTGAGCGGTGATGGGGCGAGGGGCGTCGCCAATAAGGGGTGACACAGAGGCCGGAGGGCTGGGCAGAGCCAGGTGATGTTCGAGGGGCTAGGACTTAGGTGAGAGGACCTGTGACCCCTGTGGGGTGCATTCGCGTTGGGTCCTGCCCCTGGTGGGACCTCGCAAGTAGAGACACAGGACTGCTGCCCGGGCGGGAGCCGCACCGCAGAGGACACACAACAGTGCTGATCGCATAGGTAGTGGGTCTGTTCTCAGGACCCCCACCTCCTCCTCACTCTCAGGCCCACAAAGCCCTGAGCTGCCCCACACCACCCCTAATGGCCGAGCGTCGTCTCTTTCCCGTCAGCACCACATTCAGGCTCCCCGGACACACATATCCTCGTGTGCCCTGCACAGCGACCGTGGAGTGAAAGTGTGTGGTCGGTGGGACTCAGGCACCAGAGGTGGGCAGGGGGCAGTGAAGTGGGCAGGGGTGCAGAGAGGCGGGCAGAGGGGCAGTGAGGCGGGCAGGGGGGCAGTGAGGTGGGCAGGGGTGCACTGAGGTGGGCAGGGGGGCAGTGAGGCGGGCAGGGGTGCACTGAGGTGGACAAGGGTGCACTGAGGCGGGCAGGGGCGCAGTGAGGCGGGCAGAGGGGCAGTGAGGCAGGCAGGGGGGCAGTGAGGCGGGCAGGGGCACAGTGAGGTGGGCAGGGGCACACTGTGGCGGGCAGGGGGGCAGTGAGGCAGGCAGGGGGGCAGTGAGGCGGGCAGGGGGGCAGTGAGGTGGGCAGGGGCTCACTGAGGTGGGCAGGGGCGCACTGAGGCGGGCAGGGGGGCAGTGAGGCGGGCAGTGGCGCACTGAGGCGGGCAGGGGCGCACTGAGGTGGGAAGAGGTGCACTGAGGTGGGAAGGGGCGCACTGCGGCAGGGACTCTCCTGTGTCCCCGGAACTGCACCGCAGGCCTGTTCCTGCCGAGGCTGCCCGGGTGAAAGGAGGCCCGCAGAGCAAGCCCAGAGGGAGAGCCCTGTGAGCGGACCTGCCACAGAGTGCGGGGCCGTCCGGAGCTGACCCTTAGCACGGAGCCGGGAGGAGTTATTAGCTAGCGGGGAGCAGAGTGCCGCCTAAGGCCCAATAAAATGGGGATTTGCCAACAGGGAGCAATAGAAAAGTCAAGTCTAAGAGTGTCAGTTTGTCTAGAGACTGGCTTCCAGCCAGTAAGGGCTGAGTTAAACTGCGACCCTGACCACTAACTAACCGCTCAGGGTGGGTCCACTCTCCCTCGGGGCCCCATCTCGCCCTCCTCGGAGCGCTTTCCTCTGCTCACTTCCCCTGCGGGGCCTCGCCGGGCTCGCAGCCCGTGACTGCGCCGCACTCACCTCTCTGCGGGACAGTTCTGGGTCCAAACTGCAGGTTCTTTGGGGTTAGGATGACTGTCCTGTCCTCTGGGTTTGCACATCAGAGCACATACTTGATAAAAGGTTTGTCAGATGAACAGGTGAGTCCAGGACAGGACAGCCAGGAACAGGTGTGTCACCAGAGTCACCAGGCCACAGGCACATCGTACAGCACCACGTGGTCAGTGACGACCAGCTCTGCTCCCGGGAGTGGGTACACCGATGTGGCCTCTTCTGATAAGTGATATTTATTGATAAATAATGAAGGTGACCTGTTTAGCAATATTCGAGGTAGAGAATTTTTATGTTCTGCCAATTTTGTTTAGCATAAGGGCGCCTAGTCTTTAAATCACAATTAGTTCTGTTTTGTTCTGCTTACAGAAGCCACTTCATAAACGTGTGAAGTGAAAGGGAAACACGTCATGTCTGAAAACAAAGTGCAGGCGCCTTTCTGTGTCCCGCGGGGGTGTCCTCTCCGCTGTCTTTTCAGCCTAACGTGGTCTCCTGAATGTTCCTGGGTCATTTTAACTGTATTTGTACTGATTTCAGAGAGAGGGAGACAGACAGACACCTCTGATGAGAGAATCCTTGCTCAGCTGCCACACACACACACACACACACACACACACACACACACACACACCCTGCAGGTCAAGCCCGCAGCCTGGCCGGTGCCGAGGACCCCGTTGCTAGGGCGGTGGAGCCGCACCGGCCGGGCCTCCTGCCGCCGTGAAGCTCCCCGATTCCTCCCGTGTCCCCGCCGGCCAGGGGGTCCGGCCCGGGGCGCTGCTCCCCGGAGGCGGCGCCGCAGACACGCCGGTCCCCACGCCGCCCCGCCGCCTTCCTCCCGCACCCTCCGCACTGCCGCTCCGGCCTCCTGGGGTCCCGTCCTCCGGCGGCCCCTCCCTGGGACCCCGCTCCCGGCCCTCACTGCGCAATGGGCGCTGCTCCGACCCCGCCGCCGCCGCCCCGGGGCTCCGCTCCTCCCGCAGCGCCGCCGGAAGGGCCGGGTGCTCCCCCTTCCCCCCACCCCGGGGCGGGGAGGGTGACGGGGGGGGGGGAGGGAGGGGGAGAGGTGACGGGGCGGGGCAGGGTCCCCCGGGGCGGGGGCGGGGGCGGGCGAGGTCCCCGGGGTCGGGGCGGGGTCCCCCGGGGTCGGGGCGGGGTCCCCCGGGGTCGGGGCGGGGTCCCCGGGTCCGGACGGGGTCCCCGGGGTCCGGGCGGGGTCCCGCCCGGGCTGAGCCGCCTGTCCCGCAGCCTGGCTGGTGCTGCAGGCGGCGCGCTGGCGGCTGCGGGAGGGGGAGCGGCTGGAGCTGCGCTGCCACAGCTGGAGGGAGAAGCCGCTGCGCAACGTGCAGTTCTTCCAGGACGGCCGCGGCCGCCGGTTCTCGCACCGCAGCAACGCCTTCAGCGTGGCCCGCGCCTCCGCCGCGCACAGCGGCTCCTACTTCTGCCGCGGCCTCATCGGCAAGCTCAACGTGTCCTCCGAGGCGGTGGCCGTGCTGGTGGAAGGTGAGGTGGCTGAGCCCCCTGTCTCTGGGCCTCCATGTCTCTGAGCCCCCTGTCTCTGGGCCTCCATGTCTCTGAGCCCCCATGTCTCTGAGCCCCCATGTCTCTGAGCCCCCATGTCTCTGAGCCCCATGTCTCTGAGCCCCCATGTCTCTGAGCCCCCATGTCTCTGAGCCCCCTGTCTCTGAGCCCCCTGTCTCTGAGCCCCCATGTCTCTGAGCCCCCTGTCTCTGAGCCCCCTGTCTCTGAGCCCCCTGTCTCTGAGCCCCCATGTCTCTGAGCCCCCTGTCTCTGGGCCTCCATGTCTCTGAGCCCCCATGTCTCTGAGCCTCTGAGCCCCCATTTCTGTAACTAAGACCGCGGACGGCTGGGCCCCTGATGGCCGCGCCCCCACAGGGTGAGCCAGGCCGCGGCCTCCGCAGGAGGAGCTGGGTGAGGGCGTCCAGTCCTCAGGTCACAGCCAAGGTCCAGCCCCTAATGCCGCAGCCAGCACGTGTGTGTGAGTGAGTGTGTGTGTGTGTGTGTGTGGGCGTGTGTGTGTGAGAGTGTGTGTGCGTGTGCTGTTCACACACCCATCTCTTCTGGCTGGCTCGGCCCATGACGGATCAAAGCACTCATCCACCCGTCAGAACAGCCACACACACTCATACACACACTCATACACACACACACTCACACATACACAACCAACGCACACATTCTCACATTCACACAAACACACACACACAGCGCTCCTGGGCTCCTGGTGCCACAAAACACCCACCTGGAACCACACCCAGACCATAGCAAACAGAGATGGAACCACATCTAATGCGACTTTCACACAGCAAAGCCATAGTTTATATGAAAATAATATCATTGTGTTTAAATTTAAAGTAAAAAAAATTCTCAACTGGTGAGGGAAAGAAAAGACAAATAATGAAGCAGTTGGCCAAACACCAGCACTTAGCAATGCCAGGAAAGAATAGGCAAGTGTTTTCTGTATGGTTCTGATAATGTAAATCAAAAGTAAGGGTTAAAACTTGAAATAAAAAATCAAGTATAGCCTAATCACGGTGGCCCAGTGGCTGAACATCAACCTATGAACCAAGAAGTCATGGCTGATTCCTGGTCGGGGCACATGCCCACGTCTGGGCTCGATCCCCAATCATACAGGAGGCAGCGATCAATGATTCTCTCTCCCTTTCCCTTCCTGTCCAAGATTTTATATACTATTATATACTATTATAAAATACTATTATAAAAAAAAAATATATACACACATACACACACACACACACACACACACACTAGAGGTGCACAAAATTCATGCACAGAGAGGGTGTGTCCCTCAGTCCACCCTGCACCCTCTCCAACTCTCCAATCTGGGACCCCTCAAGGGATGTCCAACTACCCTCTCACAATCCAGGACTGCTGGCTCCCAACTGCTTGCCTGCCTGCCTGCCTTACTGATTACCCCCTAACCACTCCCCTGCCAGCCTGATTGATGCCTAACTGCTCCCCTGCCAGCCTGCTTTTCCCTAACTGCCCTTCCCTGCAGGCCTGGTCACCCTTAACTGCCTTTCCCTGAAGGCCTGGTCACTCCTAACTGCCCTCCCCTGCAGGCCTGGGTTCCCCCCAACTGCTCTCCCCTGCAGGTTTGATTGCCTCCAACTGCCCACTCTTGCAGGCCTGGTCCCTCCCAGCTGCTCTCCCCTTATGGCTATCTTGTATCCACATGGGGGGAGCCATCTTTGACCACATGGGGGCAGCCATCTTGTGTGTTAGAGTGGCCAATTTGCATATTACTCTTTTATTAGCTAGGATAGAGGCCTGGTGCATGGGTGAAGGCCAGCTGGTTTGCCCTGAAAGGTGTCCCAGATCAGGGTGGGGGTTCCCTTGGGACATGGGGCACCTGGGTGAGGGGCCTGTGGTGGTTTGCAGGCTGCCCACACCCCCCAGTGACCCACACCCCCCGGAGGCCCTGGTATCTGGGATTTATTTACCTTCTATAATTGAAATTTTGTAGCCTTGAGTGGAGCCAAGCCTCCTGCTCACTCTATGGCTGCAGCCATTTCTGTTGGGATTTATTTATCTTTTATAATTGAAACTTTGTAGCCTTGAGTGAAGTCCACCACAGGCCAGCATGTGCACGAGCTTGGCTTCCTCCATTGCCAGGGAAACCCAAGCCTCCTGCTCCCTCCATGTCCACAGCCATCTTGGTTGGGTTAATTTGCATACTCACTCCTGATTGGCTAATAGGTGTGGCTTGTGGAGGTATGGTCAATTTGCATATTACTCTTTTATTAGATAGGATATACAATTTCTGTATTTTAAATCCAGTAGAATGTTTCCAGTCTGTAGACAGCAACAAGTAATGAGTCTAAAGCTTGTCATCAAGGACTCAGGGGCTCAGCCTGAGCCCCACCTAACTCCCTTTGAATTAGTTCCTGCCGATAAGGAGCAAATATCAATGGCTCTCAGCTTGTCAGATTTCCTTTAGCGACAACGAGCAATGTGGGGAGGAGCAATGAGTGTAATTTTGAGACATCGAAATTAAGAAATAATGTTCTTACACCAACTTAAACTTTGACAACTTTCAAAATCCACACCAAACCCAACACCCTAACGTGCTTGGTCCTCCCAAGGTGGCCTCACTCAGCCCAGCAGGCAGACGCCAGTGGGAGGAGCAAAGGAAGGGGTCAGCATGGCCCTCCACTAATGACCTTGCTCTTGATTCCAAATGTCAGCCTTAACCACGGCATTTCTCCGCCCCTCTGCCTCTCGCACAGCGCTGGCCACCCCCCGCGTCTCCCCAGGGCGCCTCATCCTGCTCTGCCTGCTGCCAGGGCTCCTGTTTGCTGCGGTCTCGTGGCTGTGCTGCTCTGTGCGGAGAGGCCTTCACAGCTTATCGAGGAACAGGACGAATGACACCGTCACTTGGCGCAAGAGCCTCCAGGACAAGCAGGAGCAATAACTGCAAAATCCTGACCTTCAAGCCTCAGAGGGAAGTGGGGCCCGGGAGACAACCAAAGGACTTGTGTGCATGCGTATACGCATAACCAATGGGCACAGTCTGTAGGGGTGAGGACATGTGCTGGGGGGCAGTGGATAGGGAGAGGTCAATGGGGGGAAAGAGATATATGAAATGTTTTCAACAATAAAGAATTAAAAAAAAAAAAAAAAAAAGCAGACCCTCTGAGCCCCTTTGTGTTCACAGCTCCATCGTCCCCACACCCCCCTGGCAGGGACAGGAACTCCACACGTCAGCCTGGACTGATGGGCCTTCCCCCAGCTCTGTTTTCTCTTGCTCTATAATGGAAGGGCCTGTAGTGTTTTTTTTGTTTTGTTTTTTGTTTTTTATTATTGTCATTTTTCTCAATCTGTTTGGTTTTTTTTTTTAACTAGAGGCCCAGTGCACGAAATTCATGCATGGGGGTGAGGGGGTCCCTCAGCCCAGCCTGCACCTTCTCCATTCTGGGATCCCTCTCACAACCCAGGACTGCTGGCTCCCACCTGCTCCTGCCTGCCTTTCTGATTTCCCATAACTGCTTCTGCCTGCCAGCCTGATCACCCCCTAACCCTCCCATGTCAGCCTGATTGATGCCTAACTGCTCCCTGCCAGCCTGTTTGCCCCTCTGCTGGCCTGATCACCCCAATTGCCCTCCCCTGCAGGATTGATCGCCTACAACTGCCCTCCCCTGCAGGCCTGGTACCTCTCAACTGCCCTTCCTTGCAGGCCTGGTGCCTCCCAACTGCCCTCCCCTGCAGGCCATCTTGTGGTGGCCATCTTGTGTCCACATAGGGGCAGGATCTTTGGCCACAGGGGAGCAGCCATATTGTGTGTTGGAGTGATGGTCAATCTGCATATTACTATTTTATTAGATAGGATAGAGGCTGGTACATGGTTAGGGGCCAGCTGATTTGCCCTGAAGGGTGTTCCGGATCAGGGTGGGGGTTCCCTTGGGTGGCCTCAGCGAGAGGCCTGTGGTGGTTTGCAGGCCAGTCACGCCCCCTGGTGACCCAAGCGGAGGCCTTGGTATCTGGGGTTTGTTTAACTTCTACAATTGAAACTTCGTAGCCTGGAGTGGAGCCAAGCCTCCTGCTCGCTCCGCTGTCGCCATTTCTGTTTGGATTTATCTATCTTCTATAATTGAAACTTTTTAAAAAAAACATTTTATTGATTTTACAAAGAGGAAGGGAGAGGGATAGAGAATTAGAAACATTGATGAAAGAGAAACATCGATCAACTGCCTCCTGCTCACCCCCTACCAGGGATGTGCCTGCAACCGAAGTACATGCCCTTTACCAAAATTGAACCTGAGACCTTTCAGGCCAGTGCTCTATCCACTGAGCCAAACTGGTTTAGGCTATAATTAAAACTTTGTAGCCTTGAGTGGAGGCTTAGGTTGGCTAGGGCAGGCGGAAAGCTTGGCTTCCTCCATTGCCAGGGAAACCCAAGCCTCCCTCCTGTTCTCTGTGGCTGTAGCCATCTTGGTTGGGATTAATTTGCATACTCACTTGGCTGAGTACTGGCTGGTGGGGCGTGGCTGGTGGGTGTGGCTTGTGGGTGTAGTAGAGGTATATTACTCTTTTTTTATGTAGGATCCCAGTTGACACAGAATGCCATGCTGTTTCAGGCATGCACACCACAGTGAAGTTGCAGAGCCGAACAGCACCCAGCAGGCACAGCAGAGCGCAGTCGCTTAGGTGGTGAGCCTTGACGTATGAACTGTTTTTAAGTGACTGGGCCAGTGGATAAGAGCATGGATGGGAGCCGCAGGCGGTCTGCACCCTGTGCGGGACGGCGCCACAGGAGCCAGAACTCCTCCGGACAGCAGTGGGAGCTGGGTCTGGGAGAAGCAGCAGGGCGGGTGAAGGGGGCTGAGAAAGAACAGGTGGCAGGACAGACTAGAGAGTTGGGGAGCACAGGAAACTTGGTTGGAAAGTTGGGAGGAGGACATTCTGAGAAAAGGGGAGTGTGGAGGCCTCCTGCCCTGTTTATCAGAATTCCGACTTAGGGGAGTGCTGGAGGCTAAGACCAACAGCAGCTCGTGTATTAAAGCCATATTCCTCAGGGCTGAAAATTAGCATAATATTGCCCTGCTGTTGGCCAAACAGCTCAAGGCAATTCCCTAACCTGATACTTCTTTTACTGTTTGCCAAACTTTACCTTTGATAGGCCTGTACGCATTCCTAGAGGGAAAATATGTATTCAAGTGAATAAGCTGACCGGACACAGTTGTCCGGGAGCTTTTCCACCAGAGGGAAGTTTCCACTAGGCCCCCACGCCTTCTAAATTCCTATTTCTTGTCTAAGTTTTCATTTGTGTGTGGCCCCTTCTTTAGATCCTGAACCCTAACTGCAAATGGATGTGGATTCACAGGGGACACTTAGGGGTGTGTTGAAGGCAGCGCCCCTGATTGTTCCTTGGCCTTTCCAAACATGTCTGTGCAGGAGCAGAGCCCGGTGTTTACTGGAATCCTTACACTTGCTCCCTGGATGTCCTTACCTAGAAGACAATGTAAACACATGTGTCCTCCCAAGATTACCCGCCTACGGATTGTCCCTAAAGATAAACACTCCAATAGAGGCTAACCAGGCAGGCAATAGAGGCTGCCTGGCACTGTAATCCAGGGTCTCCTCAGCCCTCTCTTTAAAAAAAAAAAAAAAAAAAAAAAATTTAACAAATCTTTATTGTTCATATTATTACAAATGTTCCTCATTTTTTCCCCCCTTCCATTGCTCCCCTCCACCAGGTTCCCACCCACCCTCTGCCCTTTCCCCACCCCCCATTGTCCTCATCCATAGGTGCACAGTTTATGTTCAGTCTCTTCCCACACCCCCCACTCCTCCTTTCCCCGAGAATCGTCAGTCCACTCCCCTTCCATACCTCTGATTCTATTATATTCACCAGTTAAGATTGTTCATCAGGTTTTTTAATTCCCTTGGTTTTTAGATTCACTTGTTAATTGCCACGCCCTCCATCACAGCCCCTGGCCGCCCCTCCATCACAGCCCCTGGCCGCCCCTCCATCACAGCCCCTGGCTGCCCCTCCATCACAGCCCCTGGCCGCAGTTCCTGTGACCCAACCACTCAGCTTGCAGACTCGCCTGGTCCTGTCCCTGTCCGAGCAGCCCCGGGGCTTTTACAGGTGTAGGGAGGGCGGGGAGGGCAGTAGGAGAGGCAGGGTGGAGGGAGGCAGGGCCAGAGCAGAGGTGACCAGCCACACTGCTGGCGGTGAGCTGCACGCGGAGCTGAGTGCCGTGTGAATGCATACGAGCCGCGGGCAGGAGGCATCCACGGGAACCCTGCACCTTCACCTGCACCTGCACTGGACAGCAGGCGCCAGCACAGGGTCACCCCTGGGCGTGTCACTCTAGAGAGAACAATAGTGAGGAAGGAGGTGAAGAGCTTCCTTTGCGGGTGTGTGTGTGTAGGACGAGTGGGAGTTTGCCAGGCAGAGAGGAGAAAGGCTGATCCAAGAGCAAAGAGAGCCCAGATTCAAAGCCAGAGAGGAGCGAGGGCGAGGAGGGATGCGGCCGGGGCGGGGAGCGGGCGGTCGGCGTTTGGAAGCTGAGCGCCGCGCCCGGGGGAGGGGAGCGGGAGGCAGCCTCCCGCGGTGACGGGGCGGCGGGCGGGGAGGGCCCACTCCGCCGCGACTCGGAAGCAACAGGACGCGGCCTGGCTGCGGGCCGGGTCCCCCCGGGTCAGGAAACCGGCGCGGTCAGGCGGGGCCAGGCTTGCGGAGCGACTCCCCTTTGGGTTTGAGTTAACCCGGAAGCGCTCATTAAGGAACCTGTCCGCGCAAGGTCAGTGGGACCTCCGCCCAGTAGCCAAGGGTTTTATTCCTAACGCGGCCCCACGCAAGTGCCGGCGACGCCCCGGGCCCGGAGCCTCATCCAAAAGAGGTCGGCAGGCGTCAGGCTCAAAACGGACACCCACGTCCCTGGGTGGGCTCGAACCACCAACCTTTCGGTTAACAGCCGAACGCGCTAACCGATTGCGCCACAGAGACAGGCGCAGGCACCACTTGCTGGAAGGTTGTTAACCACAACCAGCCCCGGCGCCGCCCGGACTCCGCGCCGCGGCTGCCCGGGAGCTGGACGGTCCCGCCGGCGCCTGGCGCGCAGATGCGCGTGAACCCAGCAGGGCTCCACCCGCCTCCCCTCTGGGCCCCGGAGGCTCGGGAGGGGGCGCGTGGGTGGGTGGACCAGGGGTCTTAGGGGAGCGAAGGGGAGCGCTCCCTGTGCCCCGGAGTTCGCTGGAGTGCTCAGAGAAGTACGTCCACAAACTTTTGCTGATCTAGACAATTTACTCTTTCATGTGCACATGTGCGAGTACTAACTCACAACAATCTTACTGAGAAAATTTAAAATGCCAACTGTGTCCCGCAAAATACAAAGCCTGGGTAAGCGGGCCTAGCATCTCCCACCCAGCCGTTCTGAAGGGTTCCTGCCGGCGAGTTCGGGCCGGGGCAGAACACACCTTCTAGATGCCTGTGGTTGAATGAATGGCTTTCACAGGTTACATCGAACCCAAATCTCGGAGGGCAAAGACCCCTTTTCCAACATCGTCAACCCGGCCCCCGGTCAGTGCCCCCCACCCCACCCCCCAGGAAACTTCTGCCTTTTGTCCCTGGGTCGTTTCAAGGCCACAGGGCTCGTGGTCCCATCACCTTCCCCGGGCGTAACTAGCACTTGGCACACCGAGTCTTCCCGCACTGGGCACGGAGCACCGTGTGTCCGCCTCCGAGTCCCCGGCCCCTCGAGGCCTCGCAGCGCCGCCTCCGTCCGCGCCGCCCGGTGAAAGGAGCGCCTCCTCTCACGCCTGTGGCTGCCCCCGGAACCGGTACGGACTGAGCAGACTCCAGGGGGAAATATAATACTAGCAGAAGGCCAAAAGCTGCCACCCAGAGGAGACAGGAAAATGCTGGAAACTGCATAACTGTTCAAAAGTAGAATTGTTCAAGAAATT